TAAAATATCTTGGTGACAAGATTTATCAACATCATAGAAACTTTACATGATGATATAGATCGTTTATGGCTTACATGAAATTAGTTTCTTATATGGTAAACGTTCTGAATGACTCAATATCTATGACCTGTCAAATTAAAACTGGAGATTTGAGTTTAAGTATACTCAAATCATTATATACAGATAGACAGGGTACAGAAAAAAATGAGAAGCTGAGGAGCATCACATTGTAAGAATATTTGGTGCTTGCGATGATTCTCAAACAGACAACTGTACATGTGTTGTGGAAACAGTTTGAATTAAGTTTGCTCAAGAAAACCAGTAATTTCCAAACTAGTTTGAATTTTAAACTTAAAAACAATGTTTAAATAATTACATTCATTGATGCCAGAGTAGCTGTAATTAAAGTATCAAAAATAACACAGACAGGACTAATAAAAAATTACAAAAATTTAACTAGAAAATATTACAATGAAATGGATGATTTATTAGATGAAGTACGTGATATCAAAGATTGTGTTTCAATTTCAGATCAGAGTAAACAAAAACATGGATTAATTAATGCAAGTAGAAGTATACTAAAATTTTTATTTGAAATTGCAACAACAGACGATTTATGAGAACAAAAATAAGTAGATCACCAGAGCCAAATATCAAGAGTATAAGCTACTATAATGAATTAATTAAATCAGACCATAAATATTCATGACTAAGAAATAGAATAAGTGGCAAATGCACTAGTAAATATTACTAATGAATTAATACTTGCTAGAATTGAATAGACCGAGATTCGTAGAGTGGAAGCTCAAATGTTAGTTTTTAATGCAAGGACTTAGAATAACTTGTAGCAATTATCTTTTACTGTAGGAAATAGAAAAAAGCCAGCTGGATTAATTCAGGCACTCAACCTTATGTAGCTGTGTCAAACAATCAACATACTTATTCAGAAATGACAAAAGCTATGTTTAAATATATAGAGGGACCAGTTAGAGTATGTAATTCAAATTTGGGAATATATTCCATACCAGTTTGTATGGAAATGTAACTATTTAATATTTTCAGGAATACAATATATCAGAAGTATGTAAAAAGAGAAATATTATCCTGAGGCCCTTTTACTTTTATAGAACTCAGACACCATTAACATGATTATTTAATGTCAAGGATGAAATAAAATTCTCTGTACTGTATTCTAAGCCAGATGTACATCAATTTGATTACCAGACAAAAATGATAAACTTAAGAATTAGTGGTTATTTAAAACTAATGAGAAATTGCTACAAATCTGGACAAGGAATAAGTTTACCCTCTAGTGTTAGGAACAAGACTAGGTACACAGTGGTGGCGTTAAATAAAAAGATGTCAAATGTACAAGAATTAATGACAACTGAGGAATTAAGTTTGATTAAGGAATTGGAATTTAACAATGAAATTTCAACATTAACTAACTATCAAGAACCTTCTGAGGCATAAATAAATTAAGAATGATATCTGAAAAGATGAATGTAAATAAATGGAAACTAATAAACACGATACTAATAACCCAATGTTTAATAATCATTATTAAGCATTACTGTTGTATGGATAGCATGACAAATTAGAAACTCTCAAGTTATTTAAACTTTATGGTCTAGCCGAATTCATAGAGAAAACAAAAGCAGAAGGACAATAGAAGCATTACATACTCTGAAGTAGTTGAATTAAATGATCTTGAGAAAGAAAATGTAAATTAGGAGGATGGGAAATTGAGTAGAAATAAAATATTTTCCTAAATATTAATCAATGAGTTTAGCTAATCATATGTAGATGTACGAGTTCCAAAATTATCAGGCAAAATTTAATTAGGTAGAGATTAATTTGCAGATAGGAAAGAAGGAAGAGTAAAAAGGAGGGAGATTGAGATCTCAAGAAAAAAACAGATTGGTGATGCATCAACTAATTGTATACAATTTATAAGAATTGTAATTAAAAATCCAAAAATATGCAGTGCAGGAGATGTGAGTAATGAATTTAAGTTATAACAACAAACTGGAGAGCAATGGTGAATGCTGTCAATTCACACATGCATGACAAAATATAGCATAGTGAACTAGCTGATTAATCGTGTGTGTATATTGATGTGGTGTTATGATAAAATTACAGAGTATGGAAAGGAGTGGGATTGTGGAAGGTGGATATGTAGTAAAAGAACTTGCTGTAAAATCATGTCTTACCTCTTGAAAGAAGATTGATGCATTCAAGCCCACATATCTGGAAAGATAATTAAGTAGTGAAGATAGACAACAGATGCACAACCTGTAATGAGGTGAAGCTTATATTCAAACTTGTTCAAGATTTGTGTCAAACTATACCAAGTGTATACCAAAATTTATACAAAGGGTGCAGAGAAGGCAAAGTTTGTAAGAGATTTAATTGGGATACCATGCTTTAGTGTGAAGGACTGGAGATGCCTGGCCTACAGACTGTTGGTAGTGCCTCAAGTGATGCATGACTACCATGTTGTTCCAAGGCAGCACTGCTGTAACTGGAAAGTGAGCTGAATATACTGTTGGTTGAGAATCTCCCCTATAAGCCATTTATGCATGAGAGGATTTTAAAAAGAAGACTTAGGTGTATTACACCTGCTTATATATACCTAATACTAACCATTAATGTAAATAACGATAGTAGACTGAGGTTTTTTGTGTAGTTTATATATGAATATTATGGACTTTAAATGATATATATGAATGTTAATGAAAATATCAATAAAATGAAGTGTATTATAATGTTGGTTTAATTAATATATCCAAAAAACTGTATGGATTTTAAAAGATAGATACATGTATACTGATGAAAATATAGATAAGAATGTTGTAATGTGACTTACTATAAAAAAAATGATGAATAAAGCATTTATTGATGATTGTATTATTAATTATTGTTACAGCAAAATAGTAGTGATTGATTGAAAAAAGTTGCCAGAAGTATCCTCTATGAACATTGCTAGATACAAATGAAAGAAACTGATTCTGTAATCTGGTCCTTAACCTCTTATATCTCTAGGATAAATATTATCTGGCTAAGGACACTATTATATTGTCGAGTCTCATTGCCATCAACAAAAATTATATAACCCCAGTTTTCAATGGTCCACTTTCCATTGTTATATATCTTATCTTTAACATATCTAAATAAACACTTTTCTTCCAAATTGGAAAGGGATGAAGCAAGTCCATATAAGATAAAAGATTTGTAGAAAGTGTTTAATGTTGGATAAACTTTTACACTGCGTAATTGTACTTTAAAAAGTAAATAAAGGCCAGAATGTTATGTTGTAGTTGAACTGTTGAAGGCAAGTAAAGTACTAGTTGACCTTGTAATGAAATCAAGCATCAGTGGAATTTAAGCTAGCAACAAATGTGTATTCAAAGGCTAGCAACTATTTTTAAAACACTGAGCTTTTTGTTTTAGTGCAGAGAACAGACACATGAATGAACTAAGCTGACAGAATGTTTGTAAAAAAGGGACATTAATTTCAGATCATTAGTAAGTAATTAAATGGACGAATGAAAGGAAATCAAGAGTTCTCAGGGGTGGATATACCACTAGAAAGCACTTGCAAAGCTGGAGACTAGACAGGACTAAGAATTTCAGTAACTATGCCCAGGAATTCACAGCAAAGGCTAAGAATCTTTCGACATCGATTTTGGTTTTGTGTAAAACAGCTATACTTTAATTTTGCTGTGTGGAAGGTAGAAATCACATTTTAGTTCTGGTTTTGGAATCTTACAACATTCTGTTTCAGCCTCATAAAAGTTGAGTTAAAAACACAGTCGTTTCAAATAGTACAACAAAATATTTCACTACAAATTTGAAAACACATCACAAAAGTCACAGATTTTCTATCCCGATTCGATATTTGTTTGTAAGAAGACTGTTACATTCAGTTTCTAACCACTGCCATTTCCATTTGGAATAGGACAAAGCTTGTGAATAACAATAAATTGGCTTTATTCTTAGCCACGTTTCCTTCTTTCCTTATTTATTACCACACAAATACAAGAAATAGCAACTTAATACAATTGATAATTCTTCTAAGATCTTCCAGAGGAGTTCAATTATTTTAATTAATATTTCAATCAAACTACCACCTTTAGGCTTTACTGAAACTTCTTATATTACATTACCAGACAATATGCGAGACAGCAATTTGAATTTACATGGAGGTTGGGTAATACAAAATTTCTATGACAACACTTCTCAATTCTCTGGTTTGCTGATTAGTGAATGAAGAAGGACACTTCTCCTGCCACTGCTGCTAATCGCTTATTTAGTTAATGTTGTAGTTTCTTTTATAATTTTCCTGTAAAACCGATTTGTAATTACGTCAAACTCAACATTATGGGAAAATTTGGCATACATTAGGTAACCAAATAAGGTAACAAAGAATTCCAATACCAACAGTAACAAGTGTGTTGGATGACCAAATATGGTAACAAAGAATTTCAGATCAAGAAAGACACGTATTTAGTTAGAAGTGAGATTCCAGAACTGAAATGTTAGATAGTTAAAAACATGCATTCAACTTTATCATTATAAAACAAGCATTATATTAATCAACAATATGTATGTAGAATTTGTAGGAAACTAAGACACGGTTGTTAGGGAGTGGATGAGATATTACTTACCACATCCAAGATAGGGTCCAGAGGTGAAGAAAACAATGAAATCCTCAAAGGAAATTCAAACTATGAAGCACTTGGTTATGTTAAAAGAACATATGCAGGCCAGAGAGAGGTTGAGCAGCCTGGAATATAAACACATCTGGGAAATGTAATTGTACTAAGAAGGATGCATTGAATTCCAAGGAGTAAGAGGAACAAGGATTTTAGAGACAAGTGCAGAACAAGCAAGACATCATAGTAATGTGTGTAAAACAGTTTAGTCCAGACTAGAATCACATTTTGAATTTTATTATGTTAGTTCTACTTAGAGCAATGCCAACATCCTGTTTACAGACTGTGAAGACCAAGGTCTGGAGTTGGGGAGTTTGTCATTCTTCAGTTGATAGTTTGAAGTGTTGCTGATCCAGAGAAACTCCACCTAGCATCTAATTGAGGATGTCCGTCCACCACCCAAGCTTTGTGTAAGTTGTATGAACATTTCTACATAGACTAGAAGCATGTTATTTCTATCATGTAAGCAGAATTAACTAAAACATAATTAATTGACAAGTTACTAAATATGGTTGAAGTTTTTATGAGTATCTTAGAAGTGTTATTAAAAGATTTTCCAAATTATTACAGAGAAAAATTATTTTCACCTGATAATTGAAAAGAATCTGCCAATGAGAGAACAATTGTAATGGACAGTTTGTTGTGGGTTCGATTTTCACCTATTACAAATGAATTTATTTGTTTCCCAGATATTTAAACAGTCTTGGGTTAGACTCACAAGTCACCAACTCAATGAAGTTTACGTAAAGAAAAAATAATTCATTCAGAAACTGAAGTACCAGAAAGATATGTATTTATTCACGTACCTACATAATCAAAAGTCAAGTCTAGACAATAATAAATCAGTTTATTTCCTCCTCTCACATTTTTACAAGCATGAACACTTGTACATTTTCATAGATTGTTGTAAGCCTACATTACAAATGATGTTAACTAATGTAAAACAAATCAACAATAGCAAACACAGATCCAAGTACTTCACAAAAACATACTGCTTGATTCAACTCTATGTTGAAATAAAACTTTCACTGCAAATTTACTTCACTATCTCCTAAATAACCTTTAATTATCTTTGTATTTATGATCTAACTTCGAAGGAGTGAGAAAAACTTGACATCAATAAAGAATTTTCTTGGAATTCTGTGCAAACGAACAAGTTACAACATTATAAGTATAGCTAATAACAATGTCATTCTTTAGTGCTTTTATAATTTTAGAAAATTTGTATATACTCAAAATGGAAGTCTGGAGCAGCTTGTTAGAATTACATTATACAAAGTTGTTGTTTGCTTGATTATGTGAAGCACTGTTTATAATAATACATTTGTATGACCTTCACTCCACCTGAAACTGACTTTTAGATGTAGTTCCATGAAGGAAAAGATGAATAGTGCAAAACTTTTGTTGGAAAGTGTGTGTTACTTGTGTGTCCTGATTTGTTGTATTTTATATTTGATTCAAAATATTGAAACCTTACAGCATTATTAGACTAATTTTCTATGTGCATCAAGGAATTGTGATTGTTATGTGTGACTTGTATATACATGTTAATTTAACTCAGATTTTTAACCACCAACTCATAAAACGTTTTTCAAATACAAACTTTTAGCTCGTAGTTCTGTCATCATTTGACCGATTTGAGATCTAATTACAGTTTTGGACTCGGGGTCAAATCATTTCGATTGATGTATTTGACCATGCCCAAGGTCTCACAGATTAA